TAAAGCTGCAACCTGGTGCAGGTGCTTTGATCAGGGCCAGCTGCGGGGGAGTAAGCTGCCTGGAAAAAGATGGGTGTTACAGAGGTGCTAATAACTACTGGGAGTGAGCTGTATGGCAACAGGCAGTCAAGAAAAGAAGTCCAGTAAGGTAGTAAGGCAGACTATGGGCCTTCAAGAAAGGAGCAGGAAAGTAAGCCTTCTGATTAGCAAAAGAGAAATCCCCGCACCCTGTTAAGTAGGAGGTGGCCTGATGGTCATAAGGGATGGAAGCAGGGATTTAAACAGGGCTCCTGGGCTTTAAAAAAAGGGTTCTAGTTTAGACTGCAAGAGTGGAAAGAGCTTAGGAGAAACTCAACATAACAGCAAGTCTCCAGTAGAGAGAGATTTTCATATTTGCTTGCAACTGAGCTGTGAGGCATAGCAGTATCTGAAGGGGCAGAAAGCAGTTTACTGAGAGTACTGGGTAAAGGCACTACAGATAAACTGTGTGTGGGCTGTTGCAAGGCCCTGAAAGCTGCTTGGGGGCTGCTACAGGGCCTAGAGAGACTGTGAAGAGAGCTATGCCCTCTTTACAATAGAGTAATAGAGATCTCCCCATCTGGAAAACAGGTTTCTAGATTGGCAGCCTGGTTGTTTAAAGGCAGTCCTCCAAATGTATCACTGGTAACATTAAGGCACAGGGTAAGTGAGGTAGGAGAGCATGTTATGTGCCAGATAGAGGGTTAGTATTTCCAACTCATGACTTCTGGCATTTTTCTTAAAGTGTATACTTTGGGAATGTGAAAAACTTCTCTTTCTTCTGTAAAGGTGCTGAAGGGTTTCCCCTGAGCTTGCAAGTTCAATCAGGGTGTTTGCGCTCTTGGGACAAAGCTCTGCAGCAGGCTGTGCACAAAGGATGCACAGCTGTAACTCCAAGGTGGGAAGCCAGGGGAAACTAGCTGGGGAGAGGAAAGCTAAAACTGTGCTGAGAAGGGCTGTAACCAGGACAATTGCTTCTGAGAGGATGACTGGCAGAAGAATTGTTGCTGAGTGAGCTGCTACTGAGGGGTAGAGGAGCCACCAGTTCCTGAGTATCCAGGATTGTCTGGTAGCCTTTACTAAAGGAGCAGGGGTTGTGCAAACAGGTTCCTCTCCCCACTGTTAAGATCCCTGGGTGCAGGGAGTCACTGGGAGGGAACTGGGGACAGCAGTTGCTAGAGGAGGCTCTCTGGGAGAGCTAGAGAAAACAGCAGGGAATCGGGGCTGTGTGGGAGCTCCAGCAGAGAGCTCAATAAAGTACAGCTGAGAAGGGGCACTCCAGGTGCCAACCACAAGGGAGCTGCCTTGGGAAGTGTCTTGGGAATGGTGTAACTGGTTGCAGGTGCCCAGGAAAGACTGGAAAAGGGAAGAAACCCTGGTCTCCAGAGCAGCCACAGCCAAAATCCTGACAGGCACCCCCATCTTCTGTCCAGATGAAGGCATTGCCACCTCTCTTCTGAGGCAGAGCAAGCACTGGTCCCTGGGGCTCCACTGCAGCCTCTCCACAGTGGGCTACTTTGCTACAGACAGTTCTTTGTGGAGACCTGGCTGGTTTAAGTGTATATACCTGTTAGAAGTTGCCTGAGTGTTAAAGTTGATAACATAATTGCTTTACTTATCCACTGGTATAGATTATTATCAAGCTTATTGAAAATATTTTGTTTTACAAATTTGACATCCCATAAATAACAATCTCTTGGTTATTATTGTAAATAGTTATTTAGTGTGTGGTCTAGTGCAGGATGGACCATGGGAGAGCACTCCAATGAGTGGTGCTTCCAGCCTGTAGATGGAGTAGGAGTAGACCGAGACCTATTGGCACCCTAGGATCCCAAAAAATTTTGATGTGGCTGTGGGTAGCACTGCTGCTAGGGTTACACTTCTATATATAGGAAAAAGAGCTAAGTTTTTGTTTGTTTGTTTGTTGTTTTTCACATTCTGAAAGCATAGGCTTTAAGAACAGCACTAAAAATCATGAGAGTTGGCAACACTGGAGGGAGACAGGCCAGGGCAGGATGCCAAGGGACTACAGACTGCCCAAGACTCCTTGGTCCTTACTACACTACTACCTGTTGTTGTTTGGTCTCTCTTCTGATCTTATTTAACTGCTACATGTTTATCCCTGTTATATGTTTATGACGGGTGGTATTGCCCAGGCTCCCAAACTTATTGATATAGCCCCTTGCTACAGGAGCTTTTACTCCCACGTATACCAGGAACCAATTCTGTCCACACATTTGTCCAGCTCTCTTCCAGCCTCACCTCTGCTGTACTCAGAGCTTTTGGGGTTCTCCAACCGCCATCACTGAAGGGTTTGGAGGCAGGGGTTGCAGCAGGGTCCTCTTCTCGCATCCAGAGAGGGAACGGTTCCAAATAGTCATTGTCTTCCCATATGCCTTCTCATACTGGTGGGAAGAACAGAGGAGCCATCCTCAATGGTGTTGGGGGGAAGCAGAACTGCTCTAAGCTGCTGGGGTGGGTTGTTTTTTTTTTGTTTGGTTGGTGGTTCTCTGCTCCTTTCCCACTCTCCTCCTCTGAGGATAGTGTTATCTCTTGGGCAGAGAGAAAGCTCTACCTGACTCCCACAGCAGTCCTTCCAGGGAAGAGCAAGCAACCAGAGGCAGTGGGGAAAGCATCCAACTGAAAAGGGCTAGGCCCTGGGGAAGTAGAAGAAATGTACAAAAGAGCTTGAACTTAAGCTTCAGGATTTAGCTAAACTGGGGGAAAACTCTTTTTAATTCTGAAATACAAGCATCCACACAGGGAGTTAATCAGGAAGTATCAATCTCTCTCCCTTTTTTTTTTTTCTTTAAACACAAATTAATATTTTTTTTTTCTTATGCAAGCCATTCAAGTTCTTAATAGACATCCCTGAAACTTCCCCAGTGCCCCTAACTGCCAAACTAGGGAAGGCAAGAATTGACGTTTCTTAATTTTTCCTAAAGTAAAAATGGAAAAAAAGGGAAAAATTACAAAGCCAAACCCTATCGTAAGTAGGGTTGTCAACTGTTTGAATCTATTCTGGGAGGTTTCTGGAACTTCAGTGTGCCTGCGTGCTCGCATATATCAGTTACAGATTATGCTGCATAGGTTTTACATCAGGAAGGAAAATGCATATTACTATTACATTTTAAACCCACTGGACTACTGTATAAATTGGATTCAACATTTAATATTTATTTTTATGAATGCCCTATCATTTATCTCTTGGGTAACCCTCAGCAGTCCCCTGGAGATTTATATCTAATTCCTGGAGACTCCAGAGCAATCCTGGAGGGTTGGCAACCTTAAGTAAGAGGGTGCACAAACTCACCCTTCTTTCTTTACAGGTCACCTCTTAGTCTATTAATTTGAGCTTAACTTTCTGAACAACAACAAAAAAATCCTAGATGAAAAATAACTAAAATGAAATATTGCTAAAAAAATTACCATGTGAATTTTCAAAAATATTTTCTCTGGTGGTATAATTCTTTCATAATTTTTCTGCCTCTCTCACCTTGTTGTTTGAATAGAAAATCCTTTAAAAACAAAACAGAAAAAAAATGTCCATTTCATACCCTGTGAAACAGAAGCAAATGTAAAAATTTCAGAATGTCTGCTCCAAAGTAGGTACTGCAAGTTCTCAGTTTTATCAGAACTGGGGTATTTCTTTTCTGCCCCCATAAAGATTCAAGTGTAGTCAAGTCATTAGTAGAGAATCTTAGCTTTATTTTTACTTAGTTTCTAGCTCTTGTGGTTACAGAGAGGAAGTTGGAAAAATTACTCTGACAGTCCCAGCAACCAAAGGCAAATAAATACAGTGTAATCTATTTAGATGTATAATTTGCTTAACTCAATCCCAGTCCACATCTGATGCCTATTGTTTACACAGTAACAAACACTGGTTTTCTGTACATGGCAGTGGTTCCCCAAGGTCGTGCCACAGCACAGTGGTGTGCCAGGACCACAAGAGAAGCGTGCCACAAAAAATGGACTGGATTGGGCCCCAGCTGCACAAGCCCTGTGGCTGGATCAGGCCCACAGACTGGTGGGTGAAGCGTGCCACCAATTTTAATCCAGAAAAAGAGTGTGCTTCAAGGTTTGCCAACTCTGACCGAAGCTATTGCAGGAGGTTCTGCCCCGCACCCACCCCCCATGTAAGTAATGTTATGAATCGTTTTTTTTGTTTGTTTTTTAATCGTACTGTTCAACCAGTTCACAGTATCAGCTTCCTGGATTGCTTTCAGTAGTCAGCGGGAGATGGAGCCAGGGGACTCCAGGCCCACCTGGGAGAGTGGGCAACTATGTGCTTCGGGTATCAAAAGTCTGGGAAGGGCTGGTACGTGGGCTGCTTGGCGTTTCTGCTGCTTCCCTGTGTGGCGTTTTCCAGCCGGTCTGCTCTGTAACTGAACTGTACTCCAGTGAAGTGCCTGTTAGTTCCAGTGCGAACTTTTGCAACGGGCTGTTTAACACAATCTGCGAAGGGTTGTCAAAAAGGCAGCTTGCTGTTCAGGAGCCCTGAGAATGAGGGCAGTTTATACCACACCTGGTTGGCAAGGCCCCCCAAATGCCCAGCGCGGTCCGGGCCCCCAGCAGTCCCCGAACGGGCCGGCTCTGGGCGTGTTCGCGGCCTGAGCGTGAGGGGAGCGGCCCGCGCGGGGAGGATACCACAGCACTGCCAGAGCAAGTGACGTCCAGTGCCCGACCTCAGGCAGGGCTCGGCTGACCCCCACCAGCATCCCGGTGCCCCCGCAGGCAACTGGGCAGAGGCACCCTCGCTCTAACGCGAGGGACACAAGTGACAGGGGCCCCGCCCAATCAAACCGCGGACTGAAACTGTAGCCCCGCCCCCAAGCAGCTCCAGCCAGTAACGACCACCCCGGCCCCGCTCCCTACTGGCTGCTGCCAATCAGCAACGCCGGGCCTCCTGACGAGCGCGTCACAACGGCTGCGACAAGCCCACTCCTGATTGGCGTTCGACTGCCGCCACCGCCCGGAGCATGTCAGTCACGAAAGACGCAGCCCCGCCCCCCCCGAAGCTACTCCAGAGCTATCAGGCCCCCCACCCACACTCCGGTGCCTGCGCAGTGGCGCCGCCATGGCGGGGCAGCTGGAGGCAGTGCGCGAGGTGGAGATCGACGCGGACGGCACGTTCAAGTACATCCTGGTGCGGGTGCAGCGCGCTGGGGGCGCCGAGCACCGAGACGTCGTCAGGGGCAACAAAGCGGCCGAGTTCCACAGTAAGTCCTCCACGGGAGAGGGCGGGGCTCGGCACAAGAGCCCACGCCCCCAGGGGCGGGGCCAAGCCGGCCCTTGCAGTAGCCCTGACTGCAGCCTCCAGCCACGCTTAGCTGGAGCCCTTGGGACTGACCCTGGGCAGGTGGATGCCCGCCTTGCTGTGGCAGGGCAGGCTCCCCACAGGGGCCCTGTGCCTGGGGGTGTCAAGATTTTGTAACAAAAAGGTGTTGCTGCGATGGGCTTTACCTTGGCTGTTGCCCCCCAGGAAAGATTTGTGAACGTGAAAGAAAACGGGTCTGTGTTCAGCAGCCCTCACAAAGGCAAACAAAATGCCAGGGATTAGGAAGAAGGGAATGGTAAAACTAAACGTCTCATAGTGCCCCTTTACAAGTCCATGGAGTGGCCATGCCTCCAATCTCGTGCCCAGTTCTGGTCCCTGCACCTCAAAAAAGGAGAGGGGAGATCTAGAGACCATCCAGAGAAAGGCAGCAGGGGTGATGAGCAGTGTGGATGGGCTTTTGCATGAGGAGAGGTTCAAGGGGCTGGGCCCATTCAGCTTAGAAAAGAGATGCTTGAGGGGGGATGTGATGAGGGTTTATATAATACTAATTGGTGAAGAGAAAGTAAATGGGGCTTTCTTATTCACTCTCTCTTTCTCAATACAAGTACTTGGGGTCACAAAATGAAACTAGGAGGTAATGAGTTTAAAACTAACAAAACAAATTTCTTTGTCACCCAGTGTGTAATGAAAGTGTTGTGGACCTCTTTGTTGGCAGATGCTGTGGAAGTCGACAGTTTAGCCAGATACAAAAAGGGATTGGACAAATGGGCATCATTGAGCATGGGAGTGAGGGCTCTGGCCTCTGAATTGGAGTGTCTTAGACCATAAATGCTGGAGGCTGCAAGGAAGAGAAGAACAGCAGGGGGGATAAAACCCTGGTTATACCCACTTCACTCTCCTTTGCAGCATCCATTCTGTGCCCCTATGTGACACAGGAGATGGGGCAAGAGGGACCAATGGTCTGACTCAGTAAATGGCAGTTCTTACTTTTTAATTCTTATGCCAACAGCCCTGTGGAGTTTGGGACCCATGAGAGCTGAATTAGGGGTAAGACCCAAGCTGGTTTTCAGTTTGTCAGGATAAGCGCACACTCAGATACTGTAAAGATATGCTAATACATGCACTGCTTCAACAGGAACTAAGAACGTTCAGTTTAAAAGGTTCTTTGATCTTTCTTTTAGAAGCCTGGTTGCTATGAAGATAATTTAAATTAAGACTGTCTTTAGGATACTCTGTTAGGGCATTTTTACGTATGCTCCAGGAGGCATTGGGAGCCACGCTAAATAAAAGCTCCCAATCGTCATGTCTATCAGTATCCCCACACTGAAAAAGGTGGCGGGGTGATTTGAAATAAAGCTCATTTGACAAGCTTAAGTTCAAAGTGCCTTGCTGCCATTTTGCTGTGCAGGGATGCTGATTCACATAACACTGCAGTCTTCTGAATCATGTTAATTTTTGTGCTCTGGCAGACTCAGCTCTGATGCACTGGAAATCCAGTGCATCAGAGCCAGCTCCCTGCATGTGTATAGGAGCCTTTAGACCTTGTCCGTCCTGGATTTTGTGCTAGGCTTTGCTTGGAGTTGCACTGTGCCCACATAAAAAGCGACTCTTACTAGTATTGCTCAACATAGCTTCCAGACCCCTTAGACTTCAGCTTTGACCAGCCTCTGATTTAATGAAACCAGCAAGCTTAAGTATAACCATTCTGGTGCCCCCAGATCTATCGATAACAAAATCTTTTTCTTACAAGCCTTAGATAGGAAATTAGAAAGAATGAGTAACTTAGAAAAAAAGGACCTCTAAATCTTTTTGATATTGAAATGCAAGTTCTGGCTAATGGCTTTCAATATCTTTTTCCAGATCACATATTTGAAAAATTAAATCCTGAAATGGAAAAATTGGGCTTTGAATGCAAGTGCCTGGGAGGAGGAAAAATTGACCATAATAGCAAAGATAAGAAACTGCGGGTGTTTGGTCTCTCTACAGTAAGTCCTGAGTTTGTTTCTTTGAACAAGTTATAGTTTGTTTTTATGTAAAATAATCTGTAGTAGTAAACTATCACAGTCCTAATTATTACAACTAGAATTTTTTGTTGTTTAAAAAGTTAGACTGAAATTAATATCATGCTTTTATTTTTTTTCTATCGGTTGTGTTTTTGTGTTAACGTACAGTTCAGGTTTCAGTTAACCGTGCTGTTTTGAGTTCACTGGAGTTAATGCTTCTGTTGTTATCTGAGAGTCGGTTATGTTTCATTTAAATCCTAACTCTGATTTTCTTTTTTCCTGCCCTCTACCTTTCAGAAATGTTAGTGACCTATTTATAAGTTACTGATACCTGCCTTCAACCTTAACTCTAGTTAATAAGATTTATCTTCATTAAAGAATCCTGGCTATGTTCTAAGTCTGCAAAAACTGAGAAAAAGGTTGATTTCTTTTAAATAAGATAGTTTATAGAAAATGGCTTTATTCTTTTATGGCATGTGAGTCTAAAGATTCTGTGTAATCCTGTTCTTTCTAAAAGACAGACTAAAGACTGACTACAGAACTTTCATTTACTTCAGTGCTAGTAGAATACATTTAGCTTTGAGGCCACAAAACTGGATATTTAGAATGATAACTCGATGACTTGGCATCTCATACATTTGCACCCTTTTAAACTTTTTCCCCTCTTTCCTGCAGGGATATGGTAAAGCAGATCATTCAGTGACTGTAGAAATACTGAAAAGGGTATACAAAGACTACGAAATCACTTGGTCAGATGACAAGAAATGAATCCAACTACTATGTAATATAGCATCTTAAATTGTGTTCAAATAAATCAGTGTGACTTGTAGTTGAATAAAAAGATCAATAGTGATGTTTTGTTTCCCTGTGTGTGCTCTCCATACGTGTTGAATAGCTTGACCCTGCTTCAGTGTAAGACTGTCCAGACTAAACAGGTACTGTATTCACTTGAATCTAAGACCCTGAATTTGAGATGAATGCCTAATAATTAGATTCTATACATGGAAAATATGTTATAATGCAGGGGGGCAGGCAGTGTGTGTGGCGGGAAGCAGCTGGTATTGGGAGGTCAAGCAGTTTGTCCCGTTTCCCCCCAACTCTGCAGGTTTGGACTCTCCCTTCCTCTTCTGCCTCTCTTCCCCATCTCCTCCCTCCCCATAAGTCTCTACATTCCTCTTGTCCCTGACTCTTGCTGGAAGGCATCAACACTGTTCTAGCGTGAGGCACCAGCCTAGCCCCTGTAGCAGCTATGTGGACTGTGCACCACTGCTACAAGGCTACTCAGTGCTTCAGGCTGCAGCCTGGATGGAGCCCGCTGATGCATAGAAGGGTAAGGGAGGCAGGAAGGGGGAAATAGGAATAGGTAGAGGAGCAGAGACTGCATGGGGTGGAGATGGGAAGAAGAGACTGGAGGGCAGAGATGGGGTTGGGGGCAGGGGGCAGGCAGCAGCTGTGGCTATGGTTCAGACCCTGGGTATGGGTTGGAGCCCGAGTCATGGCAGCTGCTGCACCTCCCCACTCTCATACTTGATTCTAAGATGAAGGGCCCTTTCTCTCATGTTAAAATCATGTAAATATGGTATTATCAAATGAGCATACGTATCTGTGCGAGGCTTTGGAGAGCGCTTCAGATCTGGAGAAGCTTTGGATGCTTCGGGGTCTGAAGCAGCACATCCAGGTTGAAGTGCTGCCTTGTTCGGCTTCCCGAAGCAGTTCAGAGCTGCCTTGGAGATCCAGCCATAGGGTATAATGGGGAAAGAATAAAATATCTATAATTGTGCTGTTTTTTATCTGATTTGGATGAAATTTTCAGGAGTGGTAGACTCTGTAGAGAGGATGAAGCCTGCCCAGTTTCAAGAAGATCGGTGCAGGGGTTTGGGGGGAACAGCACCCCAAATTCTTAAAAGCAAAACTCCTGTCATGTCTGTGTTACAACACAGGGTGAAAACTGCAGGGGTGGTAGCTCTTACTGAGGCCACAAAGCCTGCCAAGTTTCAAGAAGATCAATGTAGGGGCTTGGGGGGAACTGCCCCTCAAGCTGTGGACAAGCAAAACTCATGCCATGGGTGCTGTGGGACTGACTGTGTCTATCTTGGGGCAGGGAGGGGAAGCTGCTGTTACCAGTTACCAGTCAATCATGATTCACTCAGGGACCAGCTCAATACACAGGACCTAGCTACTACATAATGACTTCACGAGCATCAATTAGCACCTACAAAACCAGGCTAAGGAGAGGAAAGAACCAATACAGACAATCAACTGCCCCAGGACAGAGACAGTCTTGGCACCAGTTTTGCCTGTCAGCAGCTAGGGGTGCAGGGCCCCAGAACCCCCTGCACTGATCTCCTCCACAGCTGGCAGGCGTCACAGCAGGGGCCACCATCCCTGGAGCTGTCACCCTGCTGTGCCTTAGCACACAGTGTCACCTATGGCACGGGTTTTGCTTGTCCACAGCTTGAGGGGCAGTTCCCCCCATACCCCTGCACCAATCTCCTTGAAACTTGGCAGACTTTGTGGCCTCAGTAAGAGCTACCAGCCCTGCAGTTTTGACTTCCCTGTGGTGTGACACACAGCAATGACATGAGTTTGGCTTTCAAGAATTTGGGGTACAGTTCCCCCCAAACCCCTGCACTGATATTCTTGACACTTGGTAAGAAACAACAAAGTTATAGATATTTCATTGATTCCCCATTATACCCTATAGCTGGATCTCCAAGCTTAATCCGGCTGAAGCTTTGGAGCCGCTTCGGCCAGATTAAGACAGAAACCCGGTCCGGAGCTCTGGATCAGATTGTGGCCATCCAAAGCAGCCAGATTGGATCGCTGCCAACTCGTACAGGCCTAATATTTGGAGCATACGTATCTTAACTCAGGCTGCATCTGAATTGTTTAGTGCAGGGGTTTTCAACCGGAGGACCCCGCCTCCCCTGCTAGTCTGGCTGCAGGGTACTCCTGCTTTCTTGACCAACTGCCGGGGGTACAATGACCCAAAAAAGTTAAAAACCCCATGGTTTCATGCATCTTTCTGATGTTCTAGCATTGAGGCCATCCTTAATCCATTAAATGCAAAACTTTCTTTTTATTGTTCTTCCTTGCTACTTGTGACAGGACCAAGCCCCAGAGGTGGATGTGATGCCCCCTGGTAGCCAAACGGCTTCTGTCTAGCTCTGCCTCTAAGCTACCTTCCCTTTGCCCTTACCTGCCATGCCTTGGTATTCTTAATAGATTTGGAAAGGGAGGCTGCCCAAGGGTCTTCAAGTGAGCCTTGGCCTGTCTTCTGGCCAGCAGATCCTTTTCGTATCCCACTGATCCAAATCTATCCTTATGCTAGATGGGCCCTTCTGGTCTGTACATGTCCCCAGGACACCAGATACCTTATGGGTTGCTCACAGCCTCTAACCTACCCTACAACTGTACCTATGCCTCGCAGGTATTACTGCTGACTCAGAGGGTGCTCAGACTTTAATTTCTGCTCCAATCCATTCGGGCCTCCTTGCATTTTCTCAGTCTCTGCCCTCCTTGTGCTCAGGCTTCTGCACCTCCATCAGTCTCCACCCCCCCAGACTATGGGTAGGGACCTACTGAATTAAAGAAGGAAGTGGGCTGTGTGGCATCAACTTTTCCCTGTGTACTCCCTTCCCCCACCCCTCCCCTCAGTGTCCCTGTTGTTGACTGGCCAGGAGGCAAAAATGGTGCCATATTTAAAACCGCCACTGTGCAGCCTGATTCTGCCATTAATTCAGTAGGTCCCTAGCTATGGGCCCCTGGCCTTAATTCTTGCCTGTTTGTTCCTACCCTTTCTGGCTGTGGGCCCCTGGCCTAGTTTTTGCCTCTCAGGCTATGGTTCTGCCCCACGTGAGCTGTGGGCTCCCTGGAGGCCCTGCTTATTCTCACCGCACTTGAGCTGTGGACTCTAGTTTCTCTCTCCTCTAGTCTTGCTGCCCTTGGCAGGAACCTCTCCTATGTCTTGGGCCCCAGCCCCTGGCAGGGTTCCTCAAAACAGTTGTGCGCCACTCCGGCAGCACTGGGACCTCCAGCCTCCCCTTACACATCCCAAACCCAATCCACCAGTTGCTGCCACACAAACTGTTAACCTATCCCTGTAAGCCTTTAATCCCTTGCTGGTGGTCTTCATGGCATACAGTCGCTGAGGTTTGGTTTCTTGAGTGCAAAGCTCCTTCCCCAGATAGCTTGAAGTCCTTAGACCAAGTTGCCCTAATCAATCACTCCTGTAGAGGCCTTTCAGAACAAAACACCTTCCCTGACCACCTGCAGAACCAGACTGGCCCCTAGCTCAAGTCCTAGGCTTTTATAATCCCTAAACCCTGCCTCTGCAGGTTATGTGACTCTCCCCCTTGGTACAGGGATTGCTCATCATGCCCAGCCATCTAGTTTCCAAGGGAGTTTACAGTTACCTGGCTAAGTTACCCAGCTAAGCTCTACTCTATTGTCTTATTGCAGCAGAGCTACTCCTACACTAGCTGTGCCTAGTCTTTGGCAGGCCCTCTCAGAGGTCAAGAGAGGCCCAGGCCACTTCCATTTTTTGAGGCTCCCGGTATATTAAAAAAATATTAATTCATAGTGCACTACAGGCAGTGTGGCCCAGAATTGGGACACAAGTTTGAAGTTGTATGATGAATGTCTTCTTCTTTCAATCCTGTCAGTGTATGTCTGTGTCTGTATGTATAACCTCATTTGGAGATGTCAAAAGTCTAAATCTGAGGCCCTCTGTGAATGAGATGCGTGGGCCAAATGGCCCTCCCGGCACCCCCCTGTGAAAGGCCCCGGTCTTTGGCATCTTATTGCCTGCCTTCTTGCAGCCGGTTCACTCTGAGCAAGGTTCCCTTGCCTGGCTGCAGGTGTTCCCCTTCTTAATGTGCAGCTCTCTACCATGCTCCCTGATTGCCTGGTCCTTTGCAGCTGACCTTTGCTCTGCTGCCTGGCCTCTATCTGCTGCAAATTTTTCCCTTGAAGTAACAGAAGTGTTAGTCTCCCTGTTATACTACCATATTGAATACTCCACTGCCTTTCAACACAATACCTTCTTTTTTTATATATCCCTCCTAAAAACTTTTGTTGCCTACAAACGGTAGGTCAATAATATAAATATATATAAATCCTGATCATTATCTCTGCTAAGCTTCATGACATAGTCTACATCTGCTAAACTTACTCAGTGAGATTGAGATGAGCTTTCTTAAAGATCCGTTTCCCATGGAGTATTTCTTGAGCAAACAATGCAAAATATATATAAAAAAGTTATTTTAGTCTATTTTCCATTAGATACTTCCATCACAGAAAGCTACTATACCTACCATCAGCAGTGAGGCCAGAGAATGTAATGCCAGTTATCCTCCTAAGATAGTCTTACCACTCCCCACCCCTGCTTTATCTTTGCCAGCTTCGTACCCTACTGAACCCTTAATCAGTAATGGATGATGATATGGATTACAGCTTTGATTTCTTTTTTATTAACAGAAATTCAATTTAGGAATATTTTCCCATGCTATTACATCTAGTAACCAAGAACAGCAAAGGAGTCAGAATAATTTCTAAACAGAACATTTTCCATAAGGGAAAAGGTGTAGTTGAGATTTTACATTTTTTCCTAAAGTTTTCAATAGCACGACATCTGTAAAAGTTGACATTTTAACTGCTTGCTGGTCTCTGTGCAAGAAACAGAAGTATTTTATGACCTTATTTCCTGTAACTAGCAAACACTTCCAAGAGAGCTTGTCTGATAAGGAAAACCCTGGTTCCTTTAACAAAAAACAAATTTATCTTCAAAATTCACTTCTCTGAGAGACAGCAGCAGGATTTAGTGTTTCTCTCTACACTCCTAACTTACTGGAAAA